AAAGTAATTTATTACTCCTTCAATATTTTGTTTGTTTGTTGTTTAACGCCACGCTCAGCACTATTCCAACTATATGATGACGGTCTAATTAATCGTGTCTGGACCAGACAATCCAGTGATTGACATCATGATCATCGATCTAGGCATTTGAGATACGATGACACCCCACAATGACAAGAATATCCATAGTCACAACTCGCACATACACGCACCTTGACAACAGACTACTTTTCACTGTTTCATTTACTTAGCTTAACTAACATTATTACTTTGTAGCACACAGACATATCTAAAAGAACTGTCGGTGGTTACAGTTTCCCGCGGTATTCTAATCACATGAAATCTGAGCACCAGTCACTTTGTCCACTCCCATGCGTCGTACACACAAACGATACTTATGGAATCTTAGAAGGGACATTGTCGCCCTTTGGTAAAAGTAGGTGAGGTGAAATGGGGTTTAACGTCGCGTCCAAGATTATTGCACTTATATAGCGACGTGCATGCACGTGTATGTGTGTGTGTGTGTCTGCTTGTACTAGTCCGGACTAATGCCGATTTATAGAGCTAGCACACTGAGATACCATCCCGCAGGTTAACATGAATACCCCACTCAGACACAGTATACTGACTCCGAGCCGACCAGTCCTTGTTTTAGCCCCTTAATGCCGAGCTCCAGACAGGGTAACATCAAGTACCATCTTTTAACGTCTTTTGGTATGACGCGGCTGGGGATCGAACCCCGGACCTTCCGCTCTCCGGGCGGACGCTCTACCATTAGACAACAGAGGCGGTCTGGTAAAAGTAAAAAAAGATTTTATTCAAAACGCGACAATGCCTCAATGCGACAAATGGTCAAAATGTGGCGTTGTCACACTTTGGTTAATTTTGATACTTTTTGCTTGTTTTTGTGAGGGTGACAATTATTGCGACAACGCGAAAATGTTCATTCTAGCATTCCATAGATATCCCTAACACCGTTCGTCACCCACGCAATGGTTCAACAGTTCAAGTAGCTCCGTTATGTCATCCACATAACGACTGTTGTCAACTACAACTCACAACAATGGCGACCCTTGACCTGTTGAGTTTCTGCGTTGATTCTCAATCTCCAACACTGTAAAATATCTGTTTAGAATGTAAACATATACAAGACAAGTTCAGATCTAAACATGTTGAGGAATGTGTAAGGGAATACACATTTTGTGTGTTCCATCTGAACACCATTAGGGTCTAAACACCTGAAATCAGCTTTCGTCTCACAGCCTAAACACAAGAGCCCCATAATCTAATTATTAACATGTTTAAAATTTAAACATATTTACGATACATAAATTATAATGTATAATAATTATGTATTATTCTTATAATCTTATGATATCCTACTATCCTAATAAAGTGAATATCGTTGAGAATTAGCTATGAATAAGATGTACATGTATAATGTAGTCTTTGAAAGGCATTTAGAGGTGATACTCATGAGGTCAACTTCTTTATTATGAGGAACACAACGTTTCGGAGTATATGCTTACCCCTTCATCATCTGACGTTTCGGAGTATATGCTTACTGCTTACATCACCTGTTGAAGAAATAGGCATATACTCCGAAACGTTGTGTTCCTCATAATAAAGAAGTTGACATCCATAAATTCTATTCCTTATGTATAATGTACGTTGAAATTATACGTGCAAATCAGATTCAGAGGCCCATGTAGAACGCATCTACCACCAAGACTTCGAACTTGGTATACGTGTCTTTCCCACATTTAGACCTAAACACGTTTAGTTGTTAAACACATTCCTAAGCATGTCAACATTATGGGACAAGGAACGTGTTTAGGTTTAGGTTTCGGATCTAAACACCTTGTTAACGGTGTACTGGACTTCTATTGTGGTGAACGGCTTCTTCATCACCCTAACAAGTCCTTCTCGGGGATGAAACATGATATGTTCAATAAGGTTCTCATGGTAGGAAGTTCAATCTCGCACACGATTTATGGAATACACATCTTACCGAGACAAGGGAGTTAACTGACTATAAAGTCGAGTTTCCACTTTTACAGTCAGTTAACTCCCTTGCCTCGGAAAGATGAAAGAAACACTGCTTCAACGAAGAAAATGCTCTCAGTGTTTATCTCTAGACTAACGGGATCGGGCGGTCAGGCTCGCTGACTTGGTTGATGCATGTCATCGATCCAAATTGCGTGGATCGAGGCTCGTGATATCAATCACTGGCTTGTCTGGCCCCGGTTCGATTATTTACAGATATAGCTGTACTATTGATGAGTGCTGCGTTAAACAACAAACAACCAACCAAACAAGTTGAGGCGTGACGATCAGAATCTTGGCCTTGTTCCACTGTGAGGCTGCTGTAAAGTTGCCGAAAAAGACGTCATTTTATTTCACTCCCTGTCTGAAAGAAGCCTCATTCAAAATGTCTGTCTTGTCTAGTTCGTGGCAGAGAGTATTGTGTTTATTGACACAAACGGTCCAAGAAACTCCATTGGTTACAGACTCCATTTAAATTGAAAAGGAGCTCCAGTGGGATGGGAGCTTCAGATTCCCGAACCTGAGGACAATCTTGGAAAATAATATGGTTCAGGGTTAGACAGACTATATCTAACCCACTTAATTCACAATACATTCAACCATTACGTCAGGAATACCTTTTTCATTGTCGTCTTGAAAAACCTTATAATTTAAGATTATGTTTCTAGGTTTGTCAGCACCATACCCGTGCTCGTGGGTTTCACCGAAGTGGTAAACGTCTGAGATCTGCATCACGTCGGGCTTTCCTCCCACATTAAGCAGTCACGCCGCGATATAACTGGAATACAGTGAAAAGCGGCGTTAAACCCAACTCACACACTCCAGGTCGTTTTATGACATATAATGACTGTCACAAATTTAAATACACGCTTGATCCTGACCTGATATTTCATGCCTTGCAACACGGTCTACTTGTATTCACAACATACATTGCTAGGCCTAATAGATACAAACATACCATAGTGAGTTTTATTAATGATACTGTGACGTTGGTTATTCATGAGGTAAGATTTACTGGAAAGGCAGTCGCCACTCCTGGATCCCATTATCAGCTGGGTTTACAACCACGACGCCGTTCTCTTGGCTACCTCAGCTTGTAATCAGCTGCACCCTTCTGTTTGAACACTTCCTTGATTCCTGCGGTTCGAAGTATGAGTCCCGAGCCCATGGTGACAAAGCAAACAAACGCCGAAATTGGAGTTGAGGTTCTGTCCGTTGAGGTTTAAGTTGCAGCACTATCTCGAGGGGCATCTGTGGTTTTATGCGTCCCGCGTTAGGTTTTATACCACGCACCAGAGCCGGAGACGAGAGGTACACGTACATGTATAACACCCAACACTGGACGCAGAAAACCCCACGTATCCCGAGTGATACTGTTACAACGAATTTATCTTGCCGACATGGTTCAATCTGTTTTTTTAAAAGAATTAAAACAAATTGAAAATTGCTAGAAAACAGCTGTTCGATTGAAATGAGGTAAACTTGTTGTCACTTGACTTTCATTGACTCGTAAACAAAGCGCAGCCTGTTTTCTTCGTTGCGGGGTGTAAAGGATTTATTCTCCCGCTCAGGACTCCACGTGCAGACTGTTTCCTTCGCGGCGGGGTATACGGTATTTATTCTCCCGCTCAGAAAATGATTTTACTACCAGGCAGGATACGCAGTATTTTCTCAAGATCACTTGATCCAATCAGATATCTAAATTCTGACATGGGGGTAAGGTAAATAAGTATGCATAACTGAGTTGAAAAAGTCGTTTCGTGACAGTGTTAGTGGGTATGTGATAATCAACATAGTGGGTCTATGGTAACCACTTCGAAAGTATATGATATCGAATTAGTGGGTACGTGATAATTATCATGGTGGGTCTGTGGTAACCACTTCGAAGGTATATGATATCCAGTTAGTGGGTATGTGATAATCAACATAGTGGGTTTGGGTAACCACTTCGAAGGTATATGATATCCAGGTAGTGGGTATGTGATAATCAACATAGTGGGTTTGGGTAACCACTTCGAAGGTATATGATATCCAGGTAGTGGGTATGTGATAATCAACATGGTGGGTCTGTGGTAACCACTTCGAAGGTATATGATATCCAGTTAGTGGGTACGTGATAATCAACATAGTGGGTCTGTGGTAACCACTTCGAAGGTATATGATATCCAGTTAGTGGGTATGTGATAATCATCATGGTGGGTCTGTGGTAACCACTTCGAAGGTATATGATATCCAGTTAGTGGGAATGTGATAATCAACTTGTCGAGTATGTGATAACCACTTCAAAGGTATGTGATGGCCAATTGGTAGGTATGTGACATCCAATTGATGGGTCGGTGATTACCACTTGGGGGTTATTTGATAACCACATCGGAGGGTATAGGATAACCACTTGGATTCACTGTGATAACAATCTTGGAGGGTCTGTGATCACCAACTTGGAGGATTTCTCATAGATGATAACAACTAGGCTAACCCACAATTTTTCAAATATGGATCTTATCCATGAATTTTGAAAGCATTTCTACATCAGGAAATGATTCAACAATTTTCATGAAAGAGAGATCACCACTGACAGCGTCCATACAAGAGGTTCTCATGTATTTGATGCTAGTATATAATATATCTCCGCGATAAATCGCAAAGGACAATGAAGAGCGAAGCGTGATTTAGTTCACCTATTTGCATTAAGGCTACAGGTTACAGAAGTATGGACGAGAAAATGAAAAAGACGCTACACAATATTTCAAGAGAGCTGTACAATGTCAAGGTGAATGGAGTGCATTGCCTTGACTTGCATCATGCTCTATTTCCGACAGCCAGGACTAAGGCCAGGCTGTAACCATATACCTTTGAAAGAAAAGGTATTTTGAAAATGTAGTACATGTTCTGTCGTGCCTTGGAATCAAAGCAGCGACGAGTTGTACGTTGAGGCCAACATGTCATGAAAACGTCACTGTATTGTAGCGTTTGGAATGTCTGACAGTACTGATTCACGGGACCTGGCGCATGATGAATTGCTATTAATAGAACGACAGGGGAAAACCCAAGTTTCAGTTGGCCAAAACTGAGGTCACAGGTGCCGTATTTGAACATATTTGGCGTCTGAGAATTCTATCCGCATACGAAGGTGAGTCAAGTGTTATAATGTTGCGTAGAAATCACCATCAGGGTTTAAGATCAAAAGCTGGTGATATCAAACGCAGTATATGTATCGCAGGCTGGGGGTGGGAGAGACGTCCTCGATTCTCAGGCAATATCGATCCTAACATCGAAACAGTATGAATCAGTCGAGGCGCTGTTGTTTCCAAGCAGGAAACTGTTTCAACAAAGCTCAGAAAGGGACACACTTGTCAAAAACTGAGTGTAATGTTGCATTAATGTTGACCGCTTGAGACTTGACGATTTCTGATTCCTAACCTTAGGTATGACCATCTCATGACATGACATGACCAGATCGACCCGTGAAGATCCGGGGTATAATAGGTCTTCAGCAACCAATTCTTGCCGTAATAGGTGACTATACTTCTCGTAAGAGACGACTAACGGGATCGGGTGGTCAGGCTCATTGACTGGGTTGATGCATGTCATCGTATCCCAAGTACCTATTCGAATACCACCAAGCCGAGAGTCGCGAAAGAGTCCTACGGTCAAGACATGACCCTACATCACGTGATGCAGGGTCATGTCTTGAGTGAAGCCCATCATTTAGGCCGTGATGGTGGTGGGTTGAAGCTGAAGGTGTCGTAAAACCATACTCACTCGCTCACACATACTGACACCATACTGATATCACGCATGCGTGTGGCGTTTGTGACAATATATATTAAAAAATTAATGGGGGGCACGGGTGGCCCAGTTGTCAAAGGCGCCGCAATACGCTATGCAGAGTTGCGTCCCTTGGGGCGCCAGAAACCTATGATTGTGGGTTCGAATCTCGGTTCGCTCCTATTATGTTTCTAGGTTTGTCAGCACCATACCCGTGGTCGTGGGTTTCACCGAAGTGGTAAACGTCTGAGACCTGCATCACCTCGGGCTTTCCTCCCACATTAAGCTGACACGCCGTAATATAACGGGAATACTGTTAAAAGTCGGCGTTAAACCCAACTCACTCACTCAAACATTAATGAAATCAAGTCAATTACGTAGGATTCTTGGTCAATTTTCTTCTAGATAGATAGATAGATATTTCTTATTTCCGCCATAATATGAAGACTACAGCATATATAATATGTAGAGTTATTACACAACAAGAGATAACTTAGTGGAAGTAGGAATCAACAGTAGCAGTATGCAAATGGCTATAACAGCAACGTCCACCTGTTATTGTACAGCACATGGGGGGAATCATCTGCTGCCATACATAGAAATCTAGACTTGGTTCACATTGAGCAGGTATACTCCCAAGTAACAGAGATGGCTCCAAGTCTTTACTGAATGACAAGTCCATAGATGTACAATAATTATATCCTTATAACAGGCAAGTCTAGATTAACCAACAGTACAAACGTCAGTCTTTCATTGAGACAACTTGTTCTTTTTATTTACATAATCTAGAAATAATGATTTAATCGAACAATCATTGCCTTAGAGACTTGTGCAAGTCTACGGGATTACGAACGGTGAAGGCTGCCCGGATTGTACATGTCTGACAGAGTGTGTCAACCCGTACAATAATCTCTCATTGATTGCAGAGACCATCTACCGGTATATGGTCTTTGTTAAAAGTAACACGTGTATCGTAGGGGTAGAACTGATCACAACGGGATAACCTATATTCAGAACTAAGAAGCGCCGTTTCAATGTATATCAATATATAAATATGTAATGTATATATACATCCTATGAGAGACGACTTCCGACAGATGCCACGTGATGAAATCCGACTCCAACAGCAAACAACCACCGACTGATGTTACCGCTGACGTCAAGCAGTTGAGCACTTTATTGCCAAGCACAAGATCCGCTCATATGATATATACCCCCTCAGCGGCATTACATACAGTTTATTACCACAGAGGTGCTGTGCACAGAGCACGTTCCAGTTATTCTAGGCATGTACTTGGATGATTGTGAACGCCGACCTTTACGGATGTGTTCGTTCATATTTCTGTTATAGCGACTGATTTATGACTACCATTGTCTGCAGTACATTTGACTCCAAAGGCAAATTACCCTGTAGCCATGTCTCCATAACTTAATTGCCATTACGTTTTAGGCGCTAATCCCTGTTGTTAATCCTCACCAACGTTCCATTGTATATTGACTGACAGCCAAACTGGGCTACTTTATCACTTCCCGTTAATTACTGTTTTTTGTAATATGGCATTTATTACCCTAATTGATCATCCCATGAACTGTGTTGGTTAATCACGCCCACATGTCCGATGTCCAAAGCAACATCATTGTCTCTTTGTCTGTCCATTGTTGTTCATTACTATATATGTGCTACCATTACACAGTTACTACGGTGTTAGTCAGGCTTGGTATTCCGAGTGCTGGCATAGGGACGACCTCGAGCAGGATGTGCCGCTCGTAGGAAACGCCCTGAGGTGAGCTGGAGCTCCGGTCACCTCTTGTACGCCTGAGCTGGAAGATCCGCTCATCGCTGTGTTTGTGTTGTCAGAGCAGGTATTCCGCTCATTGTGCAATTGTTGTTTATTGTTTACATGTTGTGCATAAAGCGTTCCGGGACAGTGATTTTGTTCTTATTCCCCCAAGAGCTAATTTCCCGTCAACACATGCGCGTTGACATTTCGTTCACAAGAAGGACGTTTTTGTTTATGCAGGAAATGCAACCAAACAAATGCAAACAAACGGAAGTAATCTTAATTTGTAATTTTATTATCAAACGCTGAACTACTAGCATATTTTAATATCTAATTTAAATATACATTTGCATTTGAACGAATTTGGGGCCAGGATACGAAATAGGATTATTTCCCCTCTCGGATTTTAGAACTGTAATCGACCTGTGGTATCAAAAGAATCTCTCCATATATCCCCAAACTGGATTCCACAGGAAATATAGCTTTGGTGAGATGAAGCTATATCTCCTGGGATATATGGCTTCAATGAAATTACACACAATGCTTTGCAGACCATTGAGAGGTCATCATTACCATGACGTCACAATGAAATGACATCACTAACATATTTGCCGATGAAGCTGGTTAGCTGTACTTTTTACACTCAAGACAGTGGTTATAACTATTCACAAACTGAATAAGTTGGAAGAATGATGTTGGATGATAAATAGAATCTCACCCTTGTGTCAGCTGACGTTCGTTAATAAACAGCAGAGTTTCAATATTTTATCAACACGTGTTGGTACGATGGTAAGATTCTCTATTCCTTCCCAGAAGGAGGCACGGGTGGCCCAGTCGTCTACGGCGCCGCCATTTCGCTGTGCAGAGTTGCATTCCTCAGGCGTGCCCGAAATCTATGATTACGAATTCCAATACTGGTTCGCCCTGATTATAATTCTAGGTTTGTCAGCACCATACCTGTGCTCGTTCTGTTTCACCATAGTGATAGACCCTAAGACCTGATCACTTCAGGCTTTCCTTCTCATCAAGCTAACACGCCGTGATGTAACTGCAACCATGTTCAAAGCGGCGTTAAACCCAACTCACAGACTCTCTTACTTTTCCAGAAGCGGGTAAGGAACGATGGCAGCCCTTGTGGACCAAGACGCATCCACAGCAGGAACAGAAGGCACACACGAGTCGTTCTACAACAGAACCACCGAGGAGGCAGCGCACAAGATTATCCTCGAGTACAAACACGAACTCCGTGCTCAGATCAGCTCCCATTTTCCTTTACGAACAATAGAGAAGTCAGTGGGTGAGGACTACATCCTAGGTCGGGGGAAGGGATCGGACGTACTTCTAAATGACGAGCGTATGTCACGAACATATGCTGAAATTGCAACAAAACCAGGAGGCGATGAAGGTGTGAGGTTCTTCTTGAAGAACTGTACAAAGAATAAGTCTGTCATCTTGGAGAGCTACCAGAAGAAACCGTTGACTCTAAAGGCTGGGATGGAAGCGGAACTTCGGGATAGAAGCAGTTTCAAACTGATGGATGTGGAGTTTAGAGTAACGGTTAATTACGGCTGTGTGGATTCATCTGAGGTGGAACTGGAGGTGAAGTGTTGTGGCGGAACGGGTAAGGCATGTTGCCAAGAGAGTGTTGGGGTCCCGGGATCTGGACCAATGCCGTGGCCGTGCGAGCAATGTCCGCAGAACCAGTGTCAGAGAGGTGTTGATTGTTCGGACGACCAGAAACCGCAGTTGTACACCAACCCGACGACGACTGTGCGCCTTGACGCTCCAACCTCACCCGTGGCGGCAGATGGGGATGCTGGTGGACGTCATGAACGTCACGGGCATAAAGTAAGTAATGACGATTTAATGAACCCTCTGTCATGGGAACAATTTCCTAGGGGACCAGCTCTACGATCTCCAGGAGACAGTTCTCCCTTCAATTCTGGTTTTCCTGCTATGCGACTACAGAGCCCTGGAACTGGTGATCCAGAAGTTCTGATGTCAACAGACAGAAGCCCAACAGAACACGAGGAGGAAGAGAAGTGAGTGTGTTTGACCTAGCGTCGCTTGTAACAGTATTAACCATGTCAGTTTCATGTGGGGGAAAATCCCCCAAACGATGCGGGTCGTGGATGTTTACCACCGTGAGCACTGTCTGACAGACTAATGATCTGGAGCTCAAACCAGCGGAAATGAGATAAAGATCCCAGAACGAACTGCTGTGTATGAAGTGGCATTGCCAGCATAAATCTATTTTACCACACAATTTGAAATAAGGCAAGGTAAAGTTCCTATTCGATCATTTTTATGTTGTTTGCTTAACTCGCACTATAGAATCTATTTGATAAAATCTAATTACTAAATAGTATTTTTGAAAACAGAAAACCACGCCTCTCGCTATCCAACTTTTAATACAAAGGCAACAGGGTTTACTTTAACTGGCCCAGTGTAAAGTGAAACTGGAAACCATGGCCACTGACTTGTCGTCAGGGTTACAGTGTTGGTCAAAGAATGGGAAAGTGACAAAATAGGATCTCATTTATGATGTATTTATGATGCATTACTCCCCTCAGAGAACAGATAAGTGTATGAAATATTGTAAGGACAGTTAGTTCTCTTGTGGGTCGAGGAATGGCAACAGTGACAAACTATGATCTGGTTTTATTTAATAGGTCATGCAATACTCCCCACAGAGAACAGACAATTGTATGGGATATTGTAAGGACAGTTAGCTCTTTTGTGGGTCGAGAAATGGCAACAGTGACAAACTATGATCTGATTTATTAATTTTGTGATGCAATACTCCCCTCAGAGAACAGATAATTGTATGGAACACTGTAAGGACACTTCTCCTGTGGGTCCTGAAATGGCAAAAGTCACAAAATACGAGCTGATTTATTAATTTTGTGATGCAATACTCCCTTCAGAGAACAGATAATTGTATGGATCACTGTAAGGACTCTTCTCCTGTGGGTCCTGAAATGGCAAAAGTCACAAAATACGAGCTGATTTATTAATTTTGTGATGCAATACTCCCTTCAGAGAACAGATAATTGTATGGATCACTGTAAGGACACTTCTCCTGTGGGTCGAGAAATGGCAAAAGTGATAAAATATGATCTGATTTATTAATTTTGTGATGCAATACTCCCTTCAGAGAACAGATAATTGTATGGATCACTGTAAGGACACTTCTCCTGTGGGTCGAGAAATGGCAAAAGTGATAAAATATGATCTGATTTATTAATTTTGTGATGCAATACTCCCTTCAGAGAACAGATAATTGTATGGATCACTGTAAGGACACTTCTCCTGTGGGTCCTGAAATGGCAAAAGTCACAAAATACGATCTGATTTATTAATTTTGTGATGCAATACTCCCCTCAGAGAACAGACAATTGTATGGAACACTGTAAGGACACTTATCCCGTGGGTCGAGAAATGGCAAAAGTGACAAAATATGATGTGATTTATTAATTTTGTGATTCAATACTCCCTTCAGAGAACAGATAATTGTATGGAACACTGTTAAGATCATTCTCGCGATCTCGAGCTTTGTAAACAATTTCCATATGCAAAAACTGCCATACTGCGAGAATGTCCCTTTCATACCTTATACCATACATTTGTCAGGTGTATATAATATATTTGTTCCCGCGGCTGTCAGTGACTATTCATGCCACGAGTACGGTCTAAGGGAGACTATTCTACTTGGCCTGCAGTCGAAATTAACAAAACCCAACGGAAAAGATCGGAGATCGAAAAAATAGAAAGAAGTATTGTAGAAATATCTTGATGAGATTTATACCTAGTCAGGGTGACATAATTTTGTGTCACAGAGTGTACGTTGTGATATCAGGAGTTTCATGAACCCTTTCTTCCATTTCACTTTGATCATGCTCGCAACACTACCATTAAAACGTGTGTAACATGACTCACGCAATACAAGCAGCTACAGAGATGCGCCCCGGCTGTCTCCACTTGTTAGGTGAACGGAATATGACCAACTTAATATTTAGAGTCTTTGATAGGCATTTGGAAGAACATAAATAAATGACACTTTTAAGGATTACAATATGAATAATTAGGGTTGCTTTATTCCAGGCGTCTGTAACTTGGACATCTGTAATTTATGAGTGAGTGAGTGAGTACGGTTTAACGCCGCTTTAAGCAATATTCCAGCAATATCACGGCGGGGGACACCAGAAATGGGCTTCACACATTGTACCCATGTCGGGAATCGAACCCGGGTCTTCGGCGTGATGAGCGAACGCTTTAACCACAAGGCTACCCGACCGCCCCCCTGTGATTTATGAACTTGCGAACAACCATCAAACTGTGTACGATCCCCCTTTCTCCAAGATAAAAAATTTAGAAAACAAATTAGTCACAAGTTCTTTTATAAACGCCGAGCCAGAAAATTATGCTTAAGAATAATATAAAAAAATCATACAAATTGTTTTCCTCCCTGATTGAGACAAGTAGTACGTTCTCAGTGGCCTGAAGTTGTTTGTTCAATGATATATACTGTAAACGGGACTCCGAACTCTATATTGGTTCAAAAATGCTCTAAAACTGTTGACACTCCCGTCATATTTTACCAAAAACTAAAATGAAAATGGCGAATTTCCAATTGTTTCTTTTCTCATCCCACTGACCCTACGAAAATGCTTACGAAACTCGACTGTATAATTATGTTAATCTTGCCGAAAATGTTTACGAAACTCAAAGAAAGGCTACATTTTCATGTATATTTCTACCACACACCAAAGTCTTTGAGACAAAAGTCCGTTAACCAACCAATTAAAAAGATATATGATGTGTGTACATTTGTATGTAATTTTCTCGCCACACGGCAATGTTTTAAGTCTCTGATCGACTGTATATTGATGTTAATCTTGCCCTTGAAAATATGTCAATATCTTCCATGTTTGTTGTTCACATTCTATTAGTCTATAAATGTTGTTAATGAATGTGTACGACCTAATGAAATAAATGTGGCCCAGAAATGCTTTAAAACACTGACTATGCGATTGATAGCGATCGATGTAGCCTGACTAGTATTGGGAGCATCTGAGGCGGGGGACCCGTGCAGGTAAATGTGTGAGTGATGTATGGATGTCTGAAAGGATATACCTTTCAACAAACTTAACTTTTACCCATAGAAATATGTTTCACGTAATGTTTCATGTTTCCACAATTCTGAATCCACTCTTGATTTTACGCCATCTAGTATTTATTGAGAAGCAGTTTTCTTGTCAGCTTCAATACATAAGTTTAAATGTTCCAGGATATTAAAATGTTCTTTTGTACAAGGGTTGTAATAAACTGTAAAAAGATGTATATATTATTGTATTTTTTTCATTAGTATGACCCATAAACAGGATGATACCAGCACCCATATACACCAAACTACATACCTACAGTTACACACACGCACGCACGCACGCACGCACGCACGCACTACGATCACCACACCCTCCCACCGATCCCAATTGTGTGGATCAATGCTCATATTGTCAATCACTAAACTCGATTATTTACAGACCGCCGTCAGAAAGGTGGAATATTGCTGAGTGCAGCGTTAAACAACAAACAAACAAACAAACACAAATATATAAATGTAAAAGAAAGACCTGACCACAGTTGTTTATTTCCGTAATATGTATATTACACTTAAGTTTGGGACTTCTGATATGGTCAAGGACGTAAGTATGGCTAACATGAGTGAAAAGGGACGATTTTCCAACTTGAAGAGACAATCTAATCATGAGCCAAGATGATGCTTTTTACCATATGTGTATGTGTGTCTTACTCTACATTTTTCTAGTACATCCGCTTAAGTCATATTATTAAGAAAATGCTTGCTGATAGCTCTACTGTTGGTGATCTAAGAAAATGCAAGTGTTGATGAAAAGTCGAATTCTCATTTTATGAGCACTTCTAATAACTTTCATTACAATTGCTAAAGGTTTTGCGTATTTCTTAACTGATGAATACACTGTAAGTCAAAATGGGCACTCATCAAACCTTGTCTTTCCTCATGGACAGTTGCTACCAGACCCTTGGCTCAGACACAAGCACGGCTAGCCGACAACGGACGCCTACGTTATCTACAATACTTTGGTTAGAGAAAGGTTCGAGGTACTTCAAGTTTATAACAGGGAGAGTTATTGATAGATTTTACCCCCGCTTCATACACTCCAAAATTTCAGTTAAATTCTAAATAATGTTTGTTTGCTTGTTTATTTGTTGTTTAACGCCGCACTCAGCAATATTCCAGCTATTTGACGGCGGTCTGTAAATATTCGAGCCTGGACCAGACATCCAGTAGCCCATTCAAGATAATTTACTTGATTAAAAAAAATACACTTGGATAAAGATATCTTCTTTCTCTTTCACGTTGTATGAATATGAATATAAATATGATTCCTAATTTGCATCTTTCGTACATTCTCGTACAGTTTAAACAATCAACAAAGTAAATCCCTATCGGACTGTTTATTCAAGCACTTTATCTTCAAGCACCGCATTTGCATATATATCAACACCGTGTTAGTTGTGACATTGATCAATTCTTTATCCCGAGGACCGCCTCCGTGGTCTAGTGGTAGAGCGTCCGCCCGGAGAGCGGAAGGTCCGGGATTCGATCCCCGGCCGCGACATACCAAAAGACGTTAAAAGCTGGTACTTGTTGTTACCCTATCTGCCGCTCGGCATTAAGGGGCTAAAACAAGGACTGGTTGGCTCGGAGTCAGTATACTGTGTCTGTGTGGGGTATTCATGTTAAACTGCGGCATGGTATCTCAGTGAGCTAGCACTATAAATCGGCATCAGTCCGGTCTAGTACAAGCAGCCACACAAACACACACGTGCATGCACTTCTCTATATAAGTGCAATAATCTTGGACGCGACGTTAAACCCAATTTTACCTCACCTTTATTCTGACAAGTCTGATTGTCGTGCATGGGCCGAAGAAAAAAACGCATAACATTTGGTTCACCTCAGTCCAGTGGGTCACCTTGGACGGCATTGGGAGGAATCTACATTGGAATTGGTTTCACTAGTTTCACTAGTTCATGTAACTATCGCAATAGTAACACACAACACCACCCATGTGGACATTGACATTACCGTTAAGGAAAATTTAATTCTGAGAATTAAACAATACACAACAATACACACAAGAGGTGAGCTCAATCTCCGGGAGTGTCCTCAGAGCGGCACAAGATTATCATCATCAAGTCAAACATTATATACAGTTACACACATTTAACAGGTAGACACAAATACTGTAATTGGTGGCTTAGCGGGCGCAGATTAAGAAAACATTGGTTAATTAGGAATCACGAAAAGGCCGTATTGCCTTTAGGTATTGTATAGATAGATAGATATTCTTTATTTCCTCCAGATATTGAAGATACATATCATATATGATATTATGTATGATTACAGAGCTGCACAGTAGTACAATTTAACAATATTATGAGAAATGATAACTACACAATGCATGACAATCAAGCATTCTTATAACTGTTTTGTAACAGATACAGCCATTTCCTACAGTATCTTGACACAATAACCATAAGGTCACCCCACAGACTTTGAGATAAAGAGCTAACACACTCAGGCAAACCGCCAAGTAGTACAGACAGGATTATATCATCGTCCTCACTACATAGTCTTGCAGATGTAGAGACATCTATCACATCACAAATGATTTCAAATAGTTCATTTCTGTCATTCATATTCAATGCACAATACAAGAAGACATGCTTAATAATATCATGAGCTACAATTCTACATCGACATTCCCTAGATTCTATATTTAGGCATCCCAGCCGTACAAGATGAGACAGGTTTGGGAACTGTTCAGGACGTTCAAGTGCAAGCAGCCAGAGTCTGTGTTCTTTATCATTACGTAGCGAAACATATCTATTTAAGTTAAGTCTAGATGATTTCAGCTAAATTACCATGTCACGTAAAGGCCGTATTGCCTTTAGGTATTGTATAGGGTTACATACCAAGTTATACATTACAGCTGTAAGAGCAGAAAGGTCCAAGATTTCAGCTAAATTACCATGTCAACAGGATCGGTGATAGGACTTTATACTGAAAGTACCGTTAAAAATGGAAATCAATTGATTTTTACCCCTCTCTTGTGAATATTTAAAGAAAGTGAGTGAGTGAGTTGGGTTTAACGCCGCTTTTAACGGTATTCCAGTTATATCACGGCGTGTCAGCTTAATGTGGGAGGAAAGCCCGAGGTGATGCAGGTCCCAGGCGTTTACCACTTCGGTGAAACCCACGAGCACGGGTATGGTGCTGACAAACCTAGAAACACAACCGGGATTCGAACATACAAAAAATCATAGATTTCTGGCATGCCCAAGGGACGCAACTCTGCAAGCGAATCGCGGCGTCCTAGACTCAAAGTATTCGGAATTCTATGAAAAATAATACTAGTACACAATGCCACTCATTTGGGGTATCCACTTCTTTAGTTAAATGTCACTGATCACGATATTCCGCGGAGATACTATCATGTAGCTAGCATACATATCTGCAACGAAATGACTGAATATAAGGTACAGTGTACAGTGTCAGTATTGTTTGGTGCATATACCAATGAGGGGAGATAACTCCTGGAAGCTCGACACAGCTGGGAGTCAGTGTTTCCGTGCTTGGTCTTGACTCTTTACCTTTGAATGTCCGCTTATGACACACATGTGATAGCAAAGCGTGCTCTATGAATAAGGAGTAATTGTCAGTCAACGACTAAACAGTTCTGTCAACTAGTAAAAGCAGAATGACATGGGTTTAACGCCACTTTGAACGAAATTTGAGTTATTGATTATAAAGATGTTGACCTCAGTTTAGTTCAGATCTCAAATTGGGGGAATCGTGTGAATCGTTTTGTCCTCTGCCATGCTAATGCAAGCCTTTCTTTTGCCCCACACGTTCAGTGTCGTGTCAACCTTCCATGCTTTGTCGGGGGCACGGGTGGCCCAGTCGTCTAAGGCGCCGCGATTCACTGTGCAGAGTTGCGTCCCTTGGGCACGCCAGAAACCTATAATTGTGGGTTCGAATCCCGGTTCGCCCCGTTTTGTTTCTAGGTTTGTCAGCACCATACCCGTGCTCGTGGGTTTCACCGAAGTGGTAAACGTCTGAGACCTGCATCACTTCGGGCTTTCCTCCCATATTAAGCTGACACGCCGTGATATAACTGGAATACTGTTAAAAACGGCGTTAAACCCAACTCACTCACTCACTCACTCCATGCTTTGTCGCACCCTCTATCGTGCTACAGGGGGCACGGGTGGCCCAGTCGTCTGAGGCGCCGCGATTCGCTGTGCAGAACTGCGTCCCTTGGGCACGCAAGAAACCTATGATTGTGGGTTCGAATCCCGGTTGTGTTTCTAGGTTTGTCAGCATCATACCCGTGCTCGTGGGTTTCACCGAAGTGGTAAACGTCTGAGACCTACATCACTTCGGGCTTTCCTCCCACATTAAGCTGACACGCCGTGTTATAACTGTAATACTGTTAAAAGCGGCGTTAAACCCAAATCACTCACTCACTATCGTGTGACAAAAGCGGCAAAAAACGAATCACTCTTTCACTTAATGGGTTTTAATACCAAAGGTAACACATACCATAGATATAAGTTACTTTGGTGAAACCCGCGAGGACGGTAATGTTCTGATAAGGATAGTAATCCCATTGAATCTTCCAACGATAATCGAATCCTGGCCATGTTAAGGGACACAACTCTTTAGAGGTATTTGAGACATTTACGCCACTAGGTGAGGTGAAATGGGATTTAGCGTCGCGTCCAAGATTATTGCACTTATATAGCGACGTGCATGAACGTGTATGTGTGTGTGTTTGTGTGGCTGCTTGTAATAGTCCGGACTGATGCCGATTTATAGTGCTAGCTCACTGAGATACCATGCCGCAGTTTAACATGAATACCCCACTCAGACACAGTAAACTGACTCCGAGCCGACCAGTCCTTGTTTTAGCCCCTTAATGCCGAGCTTCAGACAGGGTAACAACAAGTACCAGCTTTTAACGTCTTTTGGTATGACGCGGCCGGGGATCGAACCCCGGACCTTCCGCTCTCCGGGGGGACGCTCTACAGCTAGACCACGGAGGCGGTCTACGCCACTAGGCCATTGTCTATGAATAAAATATAGTTAATAACTAAATATATCATCATATGGATCAGTTTTAATGTTGAAACGCGCTTACACCTACATGTCCACCCGCACAGTTTCAATGTATGACTGTTCAGCATGATTAATTAAATGGTGGGATGCTAGGTTTGTTTTGTGGAAC